AATATTTTATTCATGTGTTCACATTATAATACAGAGTTATTTCTGGAATGGACTGAATTTTGTCTTAAATATAAAAAGTTTGTCTCTTTTTGTGCAGCTGGAAGCAGAGCTGAGCTGTGTTACAACAAGATGCAGCTTTAACACGTTTGTTTTCTTTATATTTAATTTTCTTGCTCTGCACTGATAATTCTGTTCAAACGAGCGTTTCTTTGTTTACAACTTTTACAGAAACAAGTTGATTAGGCAGGAACAAGCTGCTCAGTGTTTACACACAACAAAAAGTAGGTTTTATTTTGTTTTCTTATCAAAGAAAAGTCATATTTTGGTGCAGAAACTGACAAAGATCACAACGAAGCAGAAACACTGAACTTTATCACAACCAGCAAAAAGTTTTATTCCAGCAGGTGATAAGCTGCGGTCGTGTCAAAGAGCCACAGATAATCTGACATGTGGGGTCAGCTGCTGCTGACTCGTGCAGCTGAGGGCCTGCAGAGGTTTGCAGATGTTTCCAGATGTTGGCAGATGTTTGATCTGGACGTGAGGCTTTCACCAGACTGAATGTTTCTGTTTTTATCAGAAACTGTAAGTCTGCAGCTGACCAGATGTTTGGATCTGATTGTTGTTTTTAATCACCTTCATGAACTTCCTGTTCATCATCTTCAGGTCTTCAGGTCTTCAGGTTTTCAGTTCTTCAGGTCTTCAGGTCTTCAGGTTTTCAGGTCTTCAGTTCTTCAGGTCTTCAGGTCTTCAGGTTTTCAGGTCTTCAGGTTTTCAGGTTTTCAGTTCTTCAGTTCTTCAGGTCTTCAGGTCTTCAGNTCTTCAGGTCTTCAGGTCTTCAGGTTTTCAGGTCTTCAGGTTTTCAGGTTTTCAGTTCTTCAGGTCTTCAGGTCTTCAGGTTTTCAGTTCTTCAGGTCTTCAGGTCTTCAGGTTTTCAGGTCTTCAGGTCTTCAGGTGGATCCTGTGATCTGGATCAGCTCAGTCCACCTCCGTCTGAACCAGCAGTTGACCTCAGAGATGAACTGGACCAGTAGTGAGACCAGGTCCACACCTCCTGCAGTGTTCCCTGAAGGTCATGCCTTTACTGAAAGGGGTCACCTAGACCTCAATGGGGTCTCTAATAGCCCCCATAAAGGGCGTGGTGGGTCACAGACCCCTTCAGGATTCAGAGTCTGGGTAGGATGTGGGACTTGTTTACCACTCTTTAAACTCTGAAGTCACCTTCAGGTCATCTGGTCTTGGTGAGGAGGACTTGGTTGGTCCTGAGGGTCCACTGTGGGCCCTGTTAGACCTGGTTCTGTCTCTGGCCTCAGCTGTGCAGAGGGGGGGTCTGGTTTGGGAGCCTCAGGTTTTTGTGTCCTTTAACTCAAACTGAACCGACTGTAAACTCACGGGTCCGGCTCCTCTTATGTCACGGTCCTCCTCAGACTCAGAGTTTCGGAGTCTTGGTGACTCGGGTTGGGCTGAAGTTCACGTGGTGATAATCTGAGGAGCATAATCTGAGGAGCTGTTTGGGTTTGAAGGATGCGTTGGTTTCAGCCTGGATGTTGACAGAGTTGGACTTTTGTTTGGGAACTGCGCTGCAGGTGCACACAATCTTATTTAGCTTCACACAGATAGTGTGTGTGTGTGTGTGTGTGTGTGTGTGTGTGTGTGTGTGTGTGTGTGTGTGTGTGTGTGTGTGTG